TGTGGGTTTGGGGGGGGGGGGGAGAGAGAAGGGGGATGAATAGTGGAGAGATACCATTGGAGTAAGGCTTTCCAAGCAGACTCCCTGTCTTCCACCTTGGTATTACAACAACTCCTACTGAGATGATAAAATATGCAGTGACTCCAGCGATTGCTGGCATCCAGTGTGGCTGCTACTTCTAATGATTATTATGCAGCAATGTTATTCAACAGTCCAGGAGGGTGCATAAAGCACAGGTTCTCCACCTCTTTAGACTCAAAGCACCTCTCAGTAGATTTGAGGCACTCCTCTGAAAATTCCAGCTCTTAATTTTCACTCGGTTATTGACTCTAGAAAAATAAGAGAGCAATTATTTTGTTTGCAAAGAACTTGGCCCAAAACAGGTCAGTAGACTTTTAACACTTCGGATTCCTATCTGAAAGATCTGGTTTTATCTTGTTAGGCATGCAAACATGATTCACAGTGTGAACATAAGATAGCACCCTGAAAGGATCTCAAGGCACCCCAGGGTGCCAGAGCACCCTGATTGAGAATCGCTGGCTTAAGAAAATGGAGCCATGGCTGGGTAGGATGGAGGAAGAATGGCTTTGTGAGTAATAGAGCATTAACCTGGCACTTAGGAGACACAGACTGCATGATTGCTCTGCTCTGCCCCATACTCCCTATCTGTGCTTGAGTAAGTCACTTGGCCATCTTTTTGCATCAATTCCCCTTGCCATCTGCCTTACCCCATTGGAGCATTGTGAGGATAAATTTGTTGAACCTCTTGAGATACTCAGGTAGTGCAGTAACCTTAAATAGAATGACATTGGGAAGTGCATGATGGGGAACATATACTGCAGAGATTGGTGTCCAACCAGAAGTAAAAGGTCACTTTTGCTTATACTAGACAACCCCCTTCAGATCTGAATTTGCCCATCAGACAGGGCTATTTGGATGTGGCAGTTTTTCTTTGCCCCCACCCCATCTTAAGGTTTTAAGCATCAGTGCCTGCCTCTGAGTCCCTGTAACCTAATGAAGTGGCAGTGATGCATGTGCCCTTCCAAGGCATAGCGCTTGCTCTCAGGAGTGCAGGTGCACACTGTTACGCACCTGCTGGAGCAGGCTGTCATGCTGTCATACTTGCATGCATGCATGCAGTGAGCTGATATTGCTATGTAAGCAGTAATATGTGACCTTGTAGCAGAAGTCACAGAGGTTCCTCTGCTTTAGCAGGCAGCATGCTTGGCTCATAACTAGTATATAACCAGCTGTGGCTGCTTAAAGGGCTTTTCTAGAACACAGCACATTATATTGTGAAATCCTCTTGCTGATACTGCAGCCAGGTTGTAAATGTTGCTTCTGAAATCCTGCAGCAACTCAGTTCCCTAGTTTCTTTTCTGTGGGGATGGTATGAGCTCCTTGGCTCTCCAAGTAAAGATACTTCTTTCCTTGTCCAATAATAAAACCCTCTTATGGTTTAAAAAAAAAAATAATATCCTGACTTTAAAGTTAGTAAGTTGGGTGTTCATAAGTAAAATGGGAAACCAAGCTAGTTTGAAACCTTTGAAAGAGAGGTTGGAAAAGAACTTTAACTTACCCTGTACCTTCCCCTGGCTAATGCAGGATTCTTCCTCAAACTGATTCCTAGCACTGCATTCTGCCTAGTTACTCAGGTCAGAGGCCTTTCATCGTTCCCCATCGCAGACTGTTCCACCCTCTGAATTCACTGATGGGAATGTTTTCTTTCACCCCCCCCCCCCACAAAAAA